TAATAGACTCAACCGAAGTAAGATGGATAAAATAAGAGTTCGTCCGTTTAAAATTCTCAAGAAAGTTTCTTCATCGATTTTTGAAGTAGACTGTGGAAGAAAAAAAAAACAATCTAATCTTTTTCATATTAACAAATTGTCACTTTATATTCCTCAAAAAGTAACGTGAAGGGGGGAGATGTAAATGTAACCACATTTATGTATTTATTTCATATCTATGATATTCAATATCTTTGTTATATGTTTGATCTTTGTTTGGGTTTCGATAAATGTGCTTCGATAAATGTGCTGCGATAAATGTGCTGCACCACGTGATTGACATATTATATAATTTATTTGATTTATGAGTTTCGTATGAATAAGCCTGTAATTGATTACTGTTTTACAGGTATGTTTTCTTTAATTTATATCTCTGTATTATTTTATATTATTTGATTATATGACATTTAATTTGTTTGAATAAACTGTTTTACAGATTAATAAATCAGGTTTTATTTAGAAACAATCTTACATATATATATATATATATATATATATATATATACCAAACTATATTTAATATTCAAATTTTTTCATAAATGTTTATATACATATATATATATGTTGGTAAAAGACAATAATTTTTACAATTTTCTATAAATTCCTACCGAATATATATATATATATATATATATATATATATATATATACACAAATAATTTGTGTTTGTATGTGTGCGTATACAATAAAAAAAGACCCTCACTTAGGATTAGCTGATGTGTTCCAATCATTTAAAGACATCAAAATGTGCACCTCATCCGCAGTCGATTGACATTGAGAGAGTTTGATCAACGCAAGTGCATGCAGAGTGAAATAACAACCGTTAATTAGAGATTCATGAACAAATTCCCTATGATCAAGTTCAGGGAGATGCATAACTGAGAGTATGCGGGTCCATCCGTGTCCATCTGTCTCACTCACATCTGCATGATCGCGGAAAAATTTTATGCGTTATAAATAAATAATGTTATGTACATTATATATAGCTGGCCATATATATATATATATATATATATATATATATATATATAAATAATATATATATAAATAATATATATATATATATATGGGTGAAAATAATTGATCTGTCACCAGATACATCGGCCCATGGTCTCCTAAATAATATCCTACTGGTCGAGAAACTAAATGAAATTTTGTGTGTGCTCGACCCAAACTGAAGCCATGCTTGTTTGATAAATAAATGCTACTGGCTATATAAGTTGCTGTTGTTTACTTTTAAACGTTTTGATTTCGTTTATCAACGCTTGTATTGTGTTGTTGATTTTGCTTTTTATTTCGCTGATTTATTTAAAAATATTAAAGTTATTAAAAATATTTTATTTTAAATAATTGATTTCAAAATGGTTAATAAATGTTGTGTTTATGGCTGTAAATCTGGATATACGTCAGAAAATCGTTCGGAGTCTGATTACGGAAAAACAGAAAATCACGTTTCATAAATTTCCAATTGATGACGAAGAATTAGCAAGAAAGTGGTTGAAAAATATCGCGAGAAAAGATTTTCATCCTTCGCAACATACCAGGGTTTGTTCGAAGCATTTTATTCCAGATGATTTCATCACATCATCTCAGGGCAGCAAAATCGCTCGTCAACGCCGAAACAACAAGGATACGTTTTTGATAAGACTTAAACCCGATTCGGTTCCAACTATTTTTTCTAATCATTCAAAACATATGTTGTGTGAAAAAACTACATCAAGATCAGGTAATGCGCTTCAAAGCAGTAGGAATAATAAAGAAATGGAAAGACTCGGAGAGTTGGAAAGAAATTTTATGGATGAAGATTCAATCGTAAGTCTGAATCTTGAAGATATTAAAATGAAATTAGAGAAAGAAATAACTTTTTCTACTGAATTTATAATTAAATTCATAGACAACAACATGGTATTACTAATAGTAAAGGTTGATGAAGATCATCATTTATCTATTAGTTGTTCAATATTAGTGACACTTGAGTTTCATTTGTTTGTAGAAGTGTGTGGGGAAGCTATCCTGCAAAAAAATTATAATGATTTACTGCAAGGAAAGTTAACCAAATTTTCTCAATTGTTAAATATTGCTGCAAGATTCAAAGCCATCAGTGAATGTGACAGACCGCTATCGTGGGACATTATTCTCACAAATGGAATCAGTAAAATTGAAAAATGTTTAGACCTTATTGATGAAAGCTCTTTGGATAATAATGAAATAATTAAAATGATACAATTTTTAAAAAAAGAATTACAATTAGTTTTAATTAAAAAGCACAAGCGATGCTACTCATCATATTTGATGAAACAGGCCTTTATTCTCATGTCAACTAGTACTGCAGGTTATCAGTGCCTGTATTCATCAAAATTGCTGTGCTTGCCATCATCAAAAACAATGATATTTTACTACACAAATTTCTCTTTGTTTCAAACCTGCAACAATTATTTGGTGATATTGTAAATAGATTAAATGACAATAATGACTTGGAGAATGAATTTCCAGAATTTTGCACCACAGATCATGATCTCAAACAATTAATTTCAAATGTATTTTTTAACATTGTTGCAAATAATTTAATTAAATCAATTACAGAAAATGCAAATGAAAAAAAGACTATTAATTATAAAAAAGAAAACTTTGTAAATTACAGAACATTTGAATTTATTTTCATAATTATATTTTTTTTTGCAATGAATGTTTTTATTTTTTTAATAAATGTTTAAAATATTTATCGTTTTAACATTTAAATCGTTTGTTCAGAGTATTAAAATGTTCAAGTGTTGCAGAATTAAAGACGTTTCGTTGTTTACTTTATGTGTGTAATATAGAATGCATGGCCTCAGTTTGGGCATGTGTAAATTTCAGTTTCTCGTCTAGTATCTATTATTTAGGAGTCTATGATCGGCCAGTACAAGTACATAAAATTCACTAGCCCAACCACGACCAAAGGTGCATTTTTGTGAACACCTAACACGTTTTAGGCTATACGCCTTTCGTCCCTTGTGGGACTCATCAGTAGATGAGTAGATTATATATATATATATATGCCATCATACATCATATTTTTATGCCATGATGTGTCCTTATGATATATATATATATATATATATATATATATATATATATATATCATAAGTACAGAATAAAGTACAAAAATGAATATAAATAAAAAAAGAAAATATAGGTAAATAAGAAAAACTGACCGTTAAAAAATGCTCAGCGGCGATAGAATTGCAGCTGTTTAATAGGGACCAGCATTCAAGACACATGGGTGCTGCTGAAACTGAACCTTCATCAAGGTGAGTTATTTGGTGGTTATTTTTTTTGTTTTTTAATTTTAGTAAAAAAAATGTTACGTTCTAAAACGTAGTTCAATAAGATTAAGCCAATGTTGCTTAATCTTATTGCTGTGGAAGATTGTTGTTGAAAATAATTTAAAAATTTAAAATTAAACACGTCAACCTGAAAAAATAATACAGTCGATCAATTAAAAATGTGTCTATGTGATTACTTACATGCATGTAAGTATGATTTTATAGAAAATGACTGCCAACCAACTAACCAACAAACGAACTAACCAACCAACCAGCCAATCAGCCAGCCAGCCAGCCAGCGAGTGGAAAATAGCAACAAAATGTTCAGAAAGGAGAAGATGAAATGAATTAGATAAAAGACAAGGAAGGAAAAAAAGTTATGCAGTTACCGTATAATTATATTAGCATGCTACTTCTCAGCAGAACATTAATAATAATAATATATTTAATACCTAATTGATATAAAACAATAAAAATTAGGTAAAGTTGAAATGGGATTCAAAGAATATTCCAGTGGCCTAATCCATTTTTTAATCTAATGAAAATCAGCTTATTATTATCATTCAAGTTTATGTTCAAATTGAATTGTGCATCTTGCTCAAGTAGTTTTGATTTTTATTTAAAAGATTTCAACAATTTCCTATTTCGTATAAATATAATCTGTTTCAATTGAACCACAAGAAGTCATAGAATATATATAAAAAAATCATTTTCAGTTAGGAACTGAGGAAATTCAAAAATTAAAATCTTTTGATAAAATGAAAAAATAATTCTCAAACAAAAAAAAAACAATAAATTCATTTTATAATATAGTTGATATATATATATATATATATATATATATATATATTTATTTATTTATATATAATATATTTTATAGTTAGTAATGTAACAGAATTAGGTAACTTAATGTACGAAAAAACAATAGTTATCATTTAATAAATACAAATATTTAATAACACAAACTTCTCACATTTTTTGACGACAAATTCAACTTCAGATAAAAGATTGTTCAAAATTATGCCGTTGTGTTCCAAATTTGATGCATCGGAAGATTTTATTATCAACTGCACAACGAAGCGAACGTAGGAAACTCTTTTATCATTAACATCAGCCTCTTCCTTCGAACGATTGCTTGACAAGGTTGGGTACAAATGATATTGTTCGTCTGCCAACATTTCGGCTGTTGGCGCAATTTCTCGACAATTAAAGCATGCAGCTTCTTTCAATAAGCTGTGACGTATAATAATTCTGATTTTCAAAATAATACTAAATGGTTGAAAAAATAGAATAAATTTTAATGTTTAATCATTTATTAATTGAGCGATTTTCAATTCATTTATGCAATTTAGAGCATTTTATTCTTGAAGAAGTTGAAATATTGGAATATAAATTAAACTATATTGTTTTTCGAGTGCTGGTAAAACTAGATGAGGAGGTGCTATGAGCTAAGTATGTATGAATTGTTTTGAGTGCAGCCGTCTTGTGTACATTTCATGTCTTTCTTTCAAAGATGATTGTCTATAAATCATTCAAAACAATGTTATTGATGTATCGAGGTGTTTCGTCAAGGCAGTTGAAATTAATAAGTCAAATATTATACCATCGTTGACAAACTTTCTCGGGAAAATGATGTTATGCGCTCAAAAATAATTCTAATATTGACTCAAAAATTCTCTCGGGCTCAAATATTCAAGCTGAGATTGTTTCATTAAAAAAGGGTATTAATTCAGTAGTTGAAGATTGTAAAACTAGTTAAATGAGCGTTAAGTATTCACTTTAAACAAACAAGGAATAAGCAAAGTGAGGCACAGTATATATATATATATATATATATATATATATATATATATATATATATATATATATATATATGTTTCTTAGCATTTGAGCACAACATATCAATTTGAGCACCGAAGATAGTATAGGAATACCGAAAAAAACATTTTTGTTCTATCATGCATAAAAAAAACAAAATTTTGGTTTTGAACTAAAAAAAAACTTGAAAATAATTTACGATCAATCAATCAATCTTCGTTTTGCGTCCAGAGACCCGGTTTTCCGAGGTAGGACGTTGTTTTCTTTGCCATCAACTTTTTGCGCCAAATTAGACGGTCAGTTGTATCCATTTCATTTAAATTTAGAGCTTTCATGTCTTGCTCGATTGTTTGCGACCAGGACTTCTTTGGACGGCCTTTGGGACGTGTGCCAGGTACTTCAACATCTGCAAGAGAAGTTATGGCACTGTTTCCACTTCGTTTGATATGACCAAACCACCGCAGACGGTGTTGCCGGCATTCGTCCTTTATATCATCTAAACCAGCACGACGCAGGATTTCGGTAGATTTGATGTGGTCCTTCATACTAATTCGTTGCATCCATCGGAGCATTTTCATGTCGGTTCGTAGAAGTTGTTGTTCCAGTTTGGTTGTCATTGACAATGTTTCTGCACCATATAACAAGACCGAACGTATCACAGATTTATAAAGTCTTGATCGTAGTGGTAGTGGGATGTCACGCCGCATCAATATAGAGGCAAGGAGATGCCATTTATTCCAGGCTGCACGTATGCGTGCTCGAGCGGCAGCTTCAGCTGTTCCAGTACAATGCAGAACATCCCCTAGATATTGAAACGATGTGACTTTCTCTATTTTAATCGCTTCAAAAACAGTGCTATTTCGAATTTGTTGTTGTGGATTGATGCAAGCAGGACGAACAAAATTGGACACTTTAGATAAAATACCAATTATTTTTGAACAACGTTTGTGACACCACTGGTTACACTGCTGACACTTGATTGAATTGTTACCTACACCAGCTTTACAAACTGAACAGGGCCATCGTCCAGTAGCTGTGGATTGGATGGGTTCACCAGTGTTCATTGCTTTGTTTTTGCTGATGTTGACTTTGAATCCATGATCGGCGAGTCTGGTGTTCCAATCTTCAAACATCTGTGCTGCATTCTGCTCAGACGTGGCTGTTAAAACGATATCATCAGCATATACTAGATTCCAAATGTCACCAGTGCGTATCGGTTTTGTGATTTCTTCCATCACAGTTATAAATAACAGTGGACTGAGAATCGAGCCTTGGTGAACTCCAACGCCGATGTCAAATGCATCTGTGTTTCCAACCGTTATGCTGACAAGAGTCTTAGTATTCGTATACATTTCCATCACAAGTCGAACAAGATATTCTGGAATGAGTTGTCGACGTAGACTCCACCTGATTGCTTCACGGGGAACTGCGACGCTGAATTGAAGAGAGTCACTAACCTGCTTGTAAACAATGGATATAAGACTTACTCTATTGAAAAGATTGTTAAAGGCAAATTACTACACAGCAATAACCTTCCTAGTACCAACAATCAAGATAACGACATCATCTTGTATTACAGAAATTACATGTCAACAGCATACAAAGTAAATGAAGCTATTCTTAAACATATCATCAATAAAAATGTCACACCAACCCAAATAGTAAAGTTAAACTCCGAATTTATTACAACAATAAAAAGACGTCTCACCTAATACTGAAAAACAACTGCAGTCCTAGAGATAACTCTGAGGTAAAGCGTAATCACGTAATATATGAATTTAATTGCCCCTTTGACGGCTGTGCACGTCAACAAGACTCATATATCGGGATTACTACTACCTCACTGACTAGAAGGCTTACGATGCATAAACAGAGTGGTGCTATCAAATCTCATTTAGACTCAACACACTCAATCACAATTAGCCGTGAAATCCTCGACAGCAACACCAAAGTAATATACCAGAACAGCAACTACACGCATCTTAAAATTGCAGAAGCAGTCCTAATTGACATCAATAAACCAAAAATAAATATACAACAAAAAATGACAACCTCACTTCCAACCCGGCGCTTAACCAACAACGAAAACAAAGAAGTAATAAAAACTAGCATCGTAAATAGTGACAAAGAAGAATATGATGCTATCGATGAAGAAAAGGAGACCAAAGGAGATGACCAGCCAATAAAGAAACCTGACACCTAATTCGCATCAAAGTTCAATTTTACAACACCAAAGTTAATTTTTACAACGTCAAAGTTCATCTTGACAAAGTCAATATTTCCCTATATATACAGCAAGGAGCACTGATGATGATTCATTCGGAATCGAAATATGGCCTTATTTGCAGCATGAATTCGAAAAATAAGTTTATTTTGAATTTTAATAAACTAAACGTTCACCAAAAAACTTTAGTGAGAAAAATCGAAAAAACGAACTACAAACATATTAACGCCAAACATTCGGTAGAATTTATAGAATATTGTAAAAATATATATATATATATATATATATATATATATATATATATATATATATATATATATATATATATATATGTGGCATTTATGGAGGGAGCAGGTGGGAAATTCTCACCCTTTATATACTCACGTACTTGTAGATTCAAGTCGACTCACTAGTATATATACATACATACATACAAACAAACAAACATACATACATACATACATACAAACATATACATACATATATACATACAAACATACATACATACATACAAACAAACAAAGATACATACGTGAAATTGAACAAAAAATAAAACATAATGGACAAGAAGAAACCTCAGGACACAAGTGTGGCAATCAGTCAGATCAAGCGAGAAAATTTTATTAATGTAGTTACATCTATCAACGTATGATTGGGCTGCTTGCTGAAAAGTTGACGAATCTAATTTTTGCTTCCAATCAAACAGATTTTTAGACAATATTAAGGATGATAACTGGCTGTTCTAATTAAATAACAATAAAAAAGAGATTAAATTTATTATATTATAATAATGAAATTTTAATAATGCATAGGTTAATTCAATTTCAAAATAATTTTTATACCGAACGTTTAATGCAATGTATACATATGTACATGATGTGTTTGTTAAGAATGTGAACAGCGGTCTCGTTAGGAAACAGGCCGACAAATCTCACCGAAACAAACCTTTATTATGGTCTCTTCAGCGGCCATTCTCACCAGGAGGACGAATATGAGTCGATGAACCACACAATCATTTTCGTACTCATCATTATTTCTATCATCGCTGCCCGCAGAAAATCTTTCATTATAATTGTTCGGGCGACGCAAACGATCAACTGCTTCCAGCCAGTTAACTGAAGTAAAAACGTGGCCGACCATTTCAAAACAAGGCTTCGAATAATCTGTTGCCTGTCACAATCAATAACTTCAATGTGTTAATATCAATGCGCCAATTAAATTTAAATACTTTAATGGTTTACCTTTACCATCCACAGAAGACAGCTAACGGTAGGCAGATAAAATCGCCATGGTAGCAAGTAGAGATGATTGTGCAGAACATCTGATAAGAAGTTAGGCATAGCTTGGACATCTGATTGGACTACATAAAAATGCCAAAGTCTGTTAAGTAGTTGGCACGGCTGATGTATCTTTCCTGCATGAAAATATTACTCGATAAATAATCAAACAAAAATGTTTCATGAATCTTTTTAAATATATATTAAACTAAAAGGTACATTCCTTATAGATAATTGTCCAACCAAACCTGGAATTTTGGTTTCGAGTTAAGACGAATCCGAACCTTCGGCCATAATCAAAATTTTGGCCAGAACCGAAACTTTTTAAATATATTAAAACTTGGACTTTTTCACGTGTGGTCAATAAAGCAAAACAGACAATAATTTATTAGAAAAATATTTTAATAAATTACATTATTAACCCTTAGTTAACCAACAAGATCATTTTGACCTGGTTGGTAAAACATGATAAGTGATTTTTTGGTAATCTAAGGGTTAAAGTAAATACATGCACGATATTCAATTTTTCGATACTGTTAAGAATGATGTTGGCAAGATATCTTTCAGTAATTGGCATGTAAGCATTGATTTAATAAAATGCTGCTTAGCATCCACAAATTCAACATATCGTAGGTAAAATGTCGCTTGCCCAATGTTTATCTTGTTGGTAGTTTTGAGGACCAGAACTGCAAACAGCCGGGAGTTTTTGACTTATTTCATTGTTACGTTATGAACAACTTAGTACAAATATTTATAATTTTTTTGAATAGATTTAATAATACAATTTCTTCAAAATGCATTCAGTTAGGCAGATGAAAACGAATTAAAATAAAAAAAACACATTTGGGTTCGGACAGGTTGGAATTCTCAAACCCACCACCAGCTACAACGTAGACGTGTTTAATTATTTATACCATTAAATTTGTATTTATACTATTAAATTTGTATATGACAAAACGAATGAAACAACAAAATTTGATGACGAAACACACCGCCAAAATACGTCTGCACTGCCTCCAACGATTTCACCCAGGATAACATCATTGTTGAGACCAGATGCATGTTTGTTGTCAGCAGATTGCAATTTTCCAACCAGCATTGTTTTAAATTATTTTTCCAGCTTATCCAAGGGTCGTAAATGTACTGGATTTTATCAAAAAGCATATCGACACCTGGCAAAATAATAAAAAAAAATTATTCATTTGTAATTGAAAATGTGATAACATTCATGCAGACGTTTCATGCAACTTACTGTAAACAAGTCAATTGCATTCATAACTTAAGATTTTTATATACAATTTTTCAATTGAAAGCATCTCACTTGTCGAGATATTTGTGATTGGATCGTACGATGAAGACCTCATGGTTGAGTTGTACGTATGCTGAATAATAAGCAGACTGACACAGAACAAAACTTTTCCAAATTGTTTTACATATTTTCTGTAACGAATGTTGAACCACTTCGAACTCCTTTTGCTGCTATTGTTGCTTTTGTGTTGCAATCTTCCATGAAAATAACATCCCATGATTTGAATTATTTTTAAAACCTGCAAAACAAGCAGTAACTTGATTTGAGATCAACTTGATAAAATAAACTAGATTTGATTAAAATCAACAAGATTTGCAGTTTTTGATTTTTTTTTTTTTTTATTTTTTTAACACTAGGAATTTTTTTGTTTGAAACAAAAATTTCTTATTTTAAATTTTAGAAAGCAAACTGACAGGCCTTTGTTCTTTGTTCAGATTAACAACAACAAAGAAGATTAAATAAATTTTCTTTTAAAATCGATTAAAAATAATTTTATCAAAAGGAACCTCTTCTTCGCCAAAGAGATTAATGACATTTTCATCGAAGGAGAATGAAAAATTTTGTTCATCATCAAATGCATTCGTCCACGTGCAGCCAATAACATTGAGCATGATCTCCCAGACGTCTGCATTTAGTCTGCCACTTTCTGTACCTAACAATGACACAGTAATTATTTCTCTACCGATGAAATAGATTCCCACTTGTTTAATAAGTACATTGTTTACATTAGAAATTCATCTAAAACTACATTCCATATATCATATTTGCACATGCATTCTGTATTTGTTTAATTAAAAATTATTTCTAAAGTTTGGCAAACGAAAACAGACGCCGCAGTAACAGTGTAAGGATTACAGAGAAGTAGTGTGCGAAAATATGTTTGCTAGAATAAGGTAATAGAGGTAAAGAAGCAGCAGCGGAATAACAAAAAGAAGTAGAATTATTATTCCACTGACAAAATCACGGCAATAAAAGATAGCTGGTGTTATAAAAGCAATTATTGAAAAAAGGTAAATTTTGCTGTCAAATTCCTGAAAACTGTTCCTGAGTGAGTTGAAAAAATAAATTAATAAATTAATTAATCAATTAATAAATAAAAAAAAATTATTAAAAAAATAGAAAGGATGAATAAATTTATGAAAAATCAACTGAGTCGCTTTGTTTTCAATAAAGTAACATCGGATGTTTGCTAGAGAAGAAGTAATCAAACAGAGTTGAAAGAAATGTTAATAGGCTTAAAAAAATAAAGCTATAATAAGAACATGCCAGATATATGAGAAGGAAGAGAATAGTATTGAGTTGAGTTAAAAAAAAGACAAAATATCATTAAATTTAAAAAAATAAGAGTAAGTGTTGAACTGTAAGTTGTTGAAGTTGTAAGTTGAAGTCCCCAGAGATATAGAAATGACTAAAAAGATAATGAGATTCAACGAGCAAATAAATAAAATTAAAAGAGTATTTATAGAAGTAAAAAGTAAAAATTTATAGAATAAACAGACACTCCCATAAGAAGAATGAGAAAAAAGAATATTTAGGGAAACTAGAAAGTTCAAAAAAACTTTTGCTATCAAAAGTAGCAAGGTTAAGAGAAGGAGAAAAAAGGTAGCAATTGACAATTGCTATGACAACAACAACAACAACCGATGAAGTATTTGCAGCAGTGAACGACGAGGCTGTCCATTTAAATTAAAAATAAATTGAAGCGATAATATTGACAGTTGACAGTGTACATGAATAATGCGGCTACCTTTGAGCAGAGCATCTATCAGATGGAAGACGAGATGACCGGGAGGACGGTGCTTGCACAAGACCAGCAAGTGCTGCTTGAAAACCTGAAAACATCCGCAGAGCAACGTACAATTAACTGAGATTTATCAAAAACAAACTAAAAAATTTGTTGTGCAACCATGTAAATAAATGTAACTTATAAGTCAGTTTGGCTACTCAAAATGGCAGAATAGCAGCATAGCCACTTTAATTGAGATATGATATTGTTATAACTGCTGCAATGGTCAAAATGCTGTTTTGCAAATTGCGCTATATAATTAATTTCAATTGATTATCTTGAATTTATAATTCTCTCTCTCTCTCTTTCTCTCTCTCTCTCTCTCTCTCTCTCTCTCTCTCTCTCTCTCTCTCTCCATAATAATAAATAGAAATAATGGATCAACACACACAAAGTGATCCTTTGGAGCTAATAAATTAGGAACGCACAGATGCTTACTAATAAGTTAGCAAGCACCAAATGGACAATTACGTTTGATATCATTAATAAGGAAGAAAGTTTAACTACACTTCATATTTCAATAATAATAAAATATTTACAATTACATCATTGTCTGTGGCGGATGCGAATAGCCAAGTACGCAATTTTTAAATCATTATGCTAAAACAAAAGTAATATAAACTTGTCCTATGGATTATTCCACACAGAAAACAAATTATCAAATCGTATGATAGTGTCATGGCACGGGGTTTCGGGAATAATTTTCAATAAATGCTTGCTATTAATTTAGAATACCTGTTGAAATTAAAGGACACACACACCAAACGCACGCACACACACACACACACACAGAGAAAGAACTAACCACTTGCATCCTCGTTGAATGTTTTGTGATCATGAGAGCATTGATAATGTGGTTTAAGAGTTCAACATGATCGGCATAAGTAGTGCGAGCGTGCATCAACCAAGATGTTATATCGAACTTTTGTGATAAAAGTTTTATTAAAATACTATTGAAATATTTATCAGTGTTAATAATATTAAAAAAAATAAAGAACTAAAACTTTTATTCAAATGCAGGCTAGAAGCGGCACATCGCCGAGATTTCAATATTATATTCAACTTCTGCAACAAAACGCGCCTAAAATATGTCATATAACCTGAAGCTATTTATTCACTCATTCTACTAATAAAATTTGTCTCATATAAAAATGATCATATCTGAGTTTATTTCAAAGTTGCTACGTTAAGTTAATTTTGAATTGATTCGATATGGTAGAATGAACATGCCAAGCTCACTGAGCCTTTCACATACCCATCCACAACACTCCAAATTTTTCGTTTTTTAATTTCTAACACTCGCGTAATTATGCATAATCGTTAAAAAGTAATGAAACTTGTGATGAAATTATTACTGACATTTCATCAATAGTTATTATAAATAACAATTAACTACCACACAATATTTCTACATGAAATGGTGTGAGAGACCAACCTTAGTAAGAAGACATAGAACGACATCTTCTGGAAGAATGATGCGTGAGTCGTTCCCTACGTTGTTGCCGAGAAGTATTGATACGTACTCGTCCGAATCATCGTCGTCGTCGCCTCCACTGGAAGCACCGCTAGCCTTTGAAGGAAGCATCTGCAAAACTTGAGCGTACAACTGAACGAAGTCGTTCAGATTCGATTGTGGATTGAAGAATGGAGTGAGCATTGAATTAAAATTCGGATTGTGTTGTATTGCCAATAAGAGAACGCTTGGCTGCGACGGATTGTTCACGATGAATGCCTGCATGTTGTAAGAATGCAAACGGTGATTTAGACTTTAAAGCACACGATTTTCAGTGATCTTGAAAATATGTTACTCGATATTTGCATCTTGCATGAAGAGGTATTAAGATATATTACTCGATATTTTTATGCATGACCGTCTGGTCAGTCCTAACCTTGCCAAGTATATCAACATAAGAAGAAAAGCTTTCTGTGGTGATGGGACAGTTGTTGTTGCTCTCAGTCATGTTAGAGAGGATCTTGTAAAATAGGAAAGTTGCAACTTGGGCATACTCATGCTTGGAGCGCATTTCATGAGACATCAGGCCTTGACATTTCACAAGTGCACTGTGGTAAGCAAATTTTTAATTTAACAAATCAAATAAAAGCAGTTAATTTTGTTTCTACGCTTAAATCCAACAACAATAATACAACAACAACACACGTTTAGACGACATTTTCCCCGAGATCGGGGTTGCCGTTTGGCTACCTATGATGAAACCGAAATACCCCTCGACGCCATCCACATCTGTCACTCGCCTCAATATCACGCAACCCCGCTTTCACCCTGTCTTTCTCCACCTGCTCTCTCCATCCCAATCGCGGACGAACCCTTCCTACCACTCCTTCAACCTCGAACTCCAACGCTCGCCTAATCCCGACCCTTTCATCCCATCTCAACACATGTCCATACCCCGCAATCTCGATCTCCTTATCAATGTCACAATGTCCTCATTCAGTCCCATCATCGACATCAGCTCTGCACTACTCCTCCTATCCTTCACTTTAACCCCACACATCATCCTCACCATAGCTCTTTCAGCCCTCTGCAGTACACTTTCCTCCTCTCTCCCAACAACAACAATAATAATAATAAGTACCCAATTTGAATATTTAATAATTTTGATGAAGAGTTAAAGAACTGAGATGACAATTCATGATTTCATAAATACGATAACATCTGCAGAATATAATTACAATTTGATGATGACTGTGAAAAAAACAATGATATATTTTGCGACATTTTATAATATGAAATGCTACTCCTTTGTTCCGTGTTATCGCCAAACGTTACTACTGATAAATATTGATGCCAAATGACTGTTGTTAGAAATGTGGACTTATTGGAAATCACATCATTAACACCAGTTGGCTTCAATAATAATCTGCCTGCTTTTGTCCAAAACTTCTTTTCGTTCGTAACCCGATAAAAAAGCGAAACACACACACAGGCACACACATTTTATTTTATCATATATGTTATAGTTATAACTTACTCGATTATATTTTCAAGTCGGCTAAATGACAGGAAAACGCTCTGATGGGGAGGCGTGGAAGACTCAGTTGTCAGCCTCATCAACTTGTTCTCCTGCTCTGTTAAGTTTCTGCTGACAATCTCATCCACACATTTTTGCTGGTGCTGAATATCAACAGAACATTTTTTATCAATTTGATTTTATTTCATCAACTTTTATTTTCATTTATTATTAACGAGAAAACAATATAAGTAGCAGCAGCTTTAAAATTGACCAATATAAGTAGCAGCAGCTTTAAAATTGACATTTTGCATCAGATTATTTCATTCAATAAATATTTTATTCAATGGTTTGATTTATTAACAAAGATTTCGACATATAATGTTTACTATACATGTTATAGTTATAACAACATAACACAAATGGTTAATAGAAAAAAAATCACCCTCAGTGTGAGGACGGCCGGTCCCTTGCAACGGTGGAGGGGACTGACGTAACTCTTACAACGTAACGTCACAACCGACTGCGTGGGTTTGTAACAACATCCTACTAAATCTCTCTCGATTTTCAAAAAATTGTCGATGTATTATAATGATAAAGAAAAAATAAACAAACTTGTTGAATTTGAAAAAATTAGTTCTAGCATTTATATTTATTTTACAATATTCAGAGCACTGCTGATAAAAAAATGACCTAATCTTACTGAAAGTCAGTTCTCAGACTGAGGATTGATGAGTCAATATAAATACTAATGAGTCAATCAGTAAAGCAATAAGGATGTGATTTAATTTTGCGCAGACCTCACAAGTCCTAAAAATTAATATCGAATAAATGTACATATCAATAATAACAGTGCAACATGTCACGCGTTCTTCAATCATCCCTAATAATCAACTAATAATAGGAAATCAACGCGAGAGCAAGTTAGGTTAAAATGAAAGTGTGATCGTTGATTGAAGAATAAGAAGAGAGCAGATGTTCACCTCGGTGCTGACGTTCAGGTGCAAGACCCTCAACAACCGGACTATCTCATCGTTCAGGCGCTTGTTCAGAGAGGATCGCCTGACGAACGAGCTGAATCAATCAAATTATGTTGGGAAACAACGTAACAAACTTTTAACGTTAATTTTCGAGTTAAATTGACAAAATTCTAACAACAATTTGTCAAAATATTACATTTATTGAAATCGGACAGAGTATTATTAAAGAGAGAAGATTCAGTTAGGACGAGATTAACATAAAAGATTTAAAATAAAGAAAGGTGAGGAAGGATTAATTCATCAGTTCCAGTTTATAGAGGTGAGACACAGGATTTGTATTTCACAGCATGTTTGCATTTTAGTTACTCTTTAGAGAAAAATTATCTACACATAATTTTAGATACATTTATTAATACAGATTAACATTTAGGACATCTCCTGTGATAAATTTTAAAATATATTGTTAAGTTAAAATAAATATTTACTCAGCCAGAGTATTTGCTACTTTCAAGTCTGCCTCGATGACGATATTCAACCTGAGATGTTATAAAAACTGAACGGTACATTCCTCAAAACTCATGAAAATTTTTTAAATCAACTTCAACAGAGTATTAAAACACATCACGCAAAGCAACCTCTGATGGTCGAGAATGAATTCCTCGCGAAAGTTGTGGCTGTGAGGATAGAGGAGCAGCGGGAGGGGGGCAGGCTGAGGTTTGCTGGAAACATTCTGAAGCAAATGCGCGTTCAATCTCTCCGATGAACCTTCATGCGTCGGAAACAAGTTAACATGCGAATTATTACTGAAATGAACAAATGAAACAAACTTCGATGTATATTATTAATAGGAAAAACAGCTCTAAAATATTTTACTAGACAATTATCAACATTCAAAAAAGAAATTTTTAAATTTAATCTTATATCAACGAAGCTTTATTTCACACATGATATCTTTCCATCGTTGAATTATTTTCATTTGTCAGTTTTAAATCATTCTTTCATGAGACAAAGTCGACATTAATAAGCAAACATGGAACACAAGTGCATCAGTACAAAACACGGAACACATGTACATTAGAACCAAACAAGAAGCATATATATGAAACATTCGGACATACTTTTTATAGCCATAGAAGTACGCAAGTTATTCAAATGCTTGACGTTGCTAGAAACTTTCCCCTCTATGGAATCCAAAAACCATCGTTTGATTTGTGTCGATATCACATCACTCATTCCTGCGTTACCAACGAAAGCAATCCAGGCCTCCTGAAAAAGATCACCGTCAACCAATCAATTTGATATTTACAACATTGTATACGTTGTATAGAAGAGGTTTATTTATTTCAAACGAGCCTCTTCATGACTTATTCCAAAAACAACCTATAAAACTAAACATAATCAATCAGTTGACGCTTTTTAACCCTTTATAAGTTTAAAAAATTCACAGCTCCTAATCGCTGGAAACGCAGAAACACAATGAGAACTGTTTGTGATTTTTTCTGTCAATAGCTTTCAGATCTCACCAGTCCTCCAATGTAGTTGAATGTTTTGTCCGTTGATGGTGGTCCAAGTTTAATGAAAGCACAAGATTCATTTTCAGTTTTCGGGTGCTATTTCTTTTTTAATTCAATTAATTAATTTCGTCAGTCATTCAATCTTTACTTAGCGATGCGAGTTAATCACCTATAGCGTGGATGTACGATACAGCCTTCTCTCTGACCAACCTTCCATCAGCTCCTGCTTCTCTTTTCCTAGACCCCTCTTCATCAGCGTATATATCTCCCTCCTTACTTACTTGACACGTTTGTACGAATCTTCCTGCAGTCATTTCCCAGAAAGGTTGTTCGTCAGGTTTGCACAAATCTGCTGTTCAGTTGAACGTTATTCCCATTATCTGGGCCCTATCAGTAGCAAATAATGTTGTCAATATTCCATTTTTGTGACAACTTCTTCACACGTTTCTCCGAATGCATTTAATAATCTTTGTTCTGTTGCAAGCCATAATAAGTTCTGCTTATCAAAGTAATTCTCAAAACATAATTTTTGACTCTAAAAAGATAATATTAAAAATTTTACACAGTTTAACAATAACAACGGAGAATAAAACAAAAACAATAAAAATCAAGCAAAGAATTAAGAAATGTGAACGGTACGTTGTGTTTGTTGATGATGGCGTTGAGAACGTTGGGCTGATACTGGGACGGCAACGAAGAGAATGACAGGCTTCTGTCGTGCAACCTCGGCTCATCCAGCCACAACGTTATCGCTCTGTACATGGCCAACAAAGGCTTCTCATCAGCCTTTCCAGATAAGTTCAGTTGAACATCGCTCGAACATTTTTTCAACTTTTTCAACAATGAAATATCTTCTGGTAAGGTGAAGTAACGATGGCCTATACCATCTTTATTCGGAAGTCTGAAGGAAAAATAATGTTGGGGGAGTGTTAATAAAAATTGAATACAATTTCACAAATGTAGAAATAATAATTCATAGCGGCGATAAAATAACGAAATGTTAAACAATTGAGTAAAAATAAAACGCGGGGCAGACAGACATTAGTTAAAATCCAACAAAAATTCTTTGCTTGAATTTTTAGTTTCAAATGGAAAAAAGTAAACGACATGTTATAAAAAATCTTCATTTCAAATTAAAAAAATCTTCGCTTCATTACCAACACTCGAGGACACGTTGGAACAAAACAGTGCAAAACAGTTTTCAGTGCTGAGCGATGTCTCATAACGAAGTACACTCACTGCTTTCAAAAACATCTTCTGAGGTTTCAATATAATTTAAACTCGCAAACAAAAAAGTTTGTATGCAGCAAAATTAAATAAACTATTGAGGAGTCGCTGTCTCATTAAAACTGAAAAATTTTTTTAGAGCTGTTCCTTGTTCGATCATCCTTATGTTATCAAAACATGCTATTTTTAAACTCAGTTTAGTGACAAATAAATTACGCATAATTTTCTCATCTAAATGTGTTGTAAACATAAATAAATAAATAAGAAAGCAGCATACAAACTAGTTAAAAACTGAAAAGAAAACATTTGAAATATCTGGCCTGCTTATTTCCTGCAACTTTTCAAATAATTTCCATTTTAATCCATAATTATCACCATTAACGATGAAAATTTGTAAGACTAACCTGTGCATATAACTTGTGAGAAAGTCATTCCATAGGAGAGGAAAGAGAAAATGATGCTGAGGTATGTCGAGGATGAATGCTGCTTGCCTATAGATAGAGAGGTGATGGTAGTGCAACAGTGGGGACGGAAGGACACCGAGCTTCTTACAGGCCAACTGAAGTTTTTTTTTTTCATTATTTACAATAAAAATTTTGGCGTCATATAAATTAATAAGTTTATTATATTAAAAAAGACATCATCATCATCATCGTCGTCGTCGTTATCATAACTTACTTGAAAAACAACTTGGATATCCAAAGAAGGATTTTTCATTAATTCTTTATTTATTTCCAACCCACTTTCCTCCTCGAATTTCCTCGCTTCACTTTTCATGACAGCAAAACGAAAATAACAAAATTGATTAGCGGCAGGAGAGTCTGAAATGAAGTTCGTCTGACTTCGAGGTCCAAAGAAGAAACTAGAAATGCCCGAGAGAATTGTGCTGGTTGTCATGGAGATGGTTGGCAGCGTGGCATCAAGAGGAGTCTGAAGGTTCAAATGATGGTGCGATCGGTGCTGGTGATTCACCATTCGAATGAACTTAAAAACATTGAGGTTGTTTAAAAGCAGACATGACAAGAAGAAATATGGCAACATCTTTTTTACCCACTGTTTTTTTAATATTTTGTTGAAGAAGCAACATTTCATCGCCACATTGGAAACATAAATTTTGCTAAATTAATTTCAAAACCCATCGATCAACGTTATTAGCTTGCACGGCGTGTGGCCACATTTTCATACTATCGTGAACATTCACATATATCTAATTGAAAACGCAGCTCAATGAATATAAGACTTGACAAACCTTGACGAATGAATCGAAATAACGATCAACTCCGCACAATGACCTCGTGTGATGAAATACTGCTCGAATCATGTTGTCCAGTATATACAATACATTTCTTGTTGGAAAAAACAAATAATAACATTGTAAAAAAATGGTCAATTGAAACGTTTGTTTTTATATTCAAGAAACAAGGGTTAATATTTATTTGTTATAATTAAAGCAAAAAACTTATAACCAAACAGGTTGATTTAAAAATCATTGGAAGCTGTGCCTCTGAAACTGTTTCATATTTTAGAGAGTGAATAACAAAATGAAACAACTCGCAACAGCAAGCCACCACCGGATCGAACTTGACAGACGACGTGCTGATGGGGTTGGAAGGTGACTGAGGAACATTTCAAATATTGGTCGATGGCCTTTTAACATGCTGACACGAGAGCATATGATTACAAACGCGATGGGGTTGTTTGCACCTACAACAGACACTTCTAAACGATGCAAAATCATCACGCGCACCTCCGAGAAGATTTGGCCGTGACGGTCGCAACTCAGCGATCGGTACTTGGAACATGCATCGGCTTGGATAAAGGTGTTGAAGGGATGTTTGGAATATATCAGGTCAAAGATCAGTTAAGCCACTTTAATTTCAATGAATGGACTTTAAATTTTTACAGAGAAGTGTTAACAATCAATAAAAATAATTGAAAATTTCAATGATTTGTGAAGAAATGTTATCAACGAAAATGACTCTAAGAGGAGATACCAAACAATTGAAGTAATTGTTGAGAAGTAAGCTTCAACCACAACGTCGCCGTTATTGTGGTAGACAGTTTTACAAATTTCTGTTCGGATGAAATCAAAAGAATTTGAAATTTGTGGTCGTCTAGTTGAAAAAGAAAACCATTACGAGGACATGCCAGGAGGATTTTATCAGTGAAACAAGGCCGAGACTGGATACACATCGATAAAGTTCCGTGGACTAATATAGGGAGGTGATCTTGAAATTGGGATCATGTCGTTGACCAACACGGAAATCATGGTTAACAAATTAACGTTCCTCTGTGAAATATTTAGATGGAAACTGACCATACCAACAACCCAACACGAAAAGTTAGATGAAAATAAGTTGGAAGCAGATCGAACATTTTATAATTAATTCTCAAACATCGAATAATGACATCAACGGATAGTAACATAAATGATTGGCAACATTACTGAATGAAAGAATGAAATTAACTTCTAGAAATTCAATTTTTAATTTTGATAGATATATATTATTGTGTTTTTTTTAGAATAAAACGAATGAGATGAAATAATTTATAAAAAAAACTGACCTGTTCCCGAACCACCTGCTGACGTTAGTGAGAGATGAAACCCACAAGTGGATGACGTTACTAAACTGCCGTGTCTTCGTGTCGAAGTATGCGAGGTGCCGCTGTTGAATGTGGCATGTACATTATTTAACAATAAAGCTGATGACGGGACTAACGGATTATAATGCAAGAGTAATGAATAAAACTTAAAAAGTGAACAACATTTGCACAATTTGCATACACGTGTGCACGCTGCATGATATTACAAAACGTCTACTTAATGACGACTTTATGTTCGTGGCTGAAAAACAATCGATCAATCTTCGTTTAGCGTCCAGAGACCCAGTTGCCCGAGGTAGGACGTCCAGAAAAACAGCCAGCAGAATTAAAAAAAGTACGTGGTAAATTAATTAGCTTCATACACCACACCTTCGACGCGAGTGTAGTGTCGCTGACCAACACTAATTGTATACATATATTGCAACAGATTTAACTTAGATCAAATTCTTCTAAAGCATTGGCACGTTTAACTCTTCCCATCTTACACGCTAGATTTAAACGACAAAAACATTTTGCTATTTTTTTTAAATTAAGCCAACCTATAACTACAACATAACTGTTATACCATTGTGAGACGACACGAGCTGTAAAAACAATTATCTACAAACATTCACCAAGCAATAGAGAAACAAAATTTCCAAAAGCTTTAATCAAACTGATCCTAACCAATGAGCATATCAAGAGTTGTTCAACCATAGTTGTCGTATGTCCGGGATTGTCGGCATCAGGTGAGGATGGCTGTTGATCAAATGAAAGCCAGCCATCGAAACACTTTTGAAAGCTGCATGAAAGATGAAATTTATAATTAGCAAATCGTATAAACAAAGCAATGAAGACCGCAATGACAGTTACTCGAACCTGGGCTGCAGGAGAAGTTTGTTGCAGAGATCCCGGTCGTCGTAGAATGCTGGTAGGATGTTGGAGATGAGGTGGAGGGCAGGGATGTGCAGGTGATTGTCCACCATACCCTGCAGTCTCATCAGTCCCTCACACAAAAAATCTGATGGACTGAGTACATCATAACTTTCAATTTCAATACCGTGATCATATAGTTAGAATAAAGATGCGTCATTAATGAATGGATGAATGAATGAATGAATGAATGAATGAATGAGTGAATGAATGAATTAATTAATTAATTAATTGTGTCATCATCCAAACCAGACAAAATTCTTAAGTTTGTTCTAATTTTTTCAAAAATTGAAAAAGTTATATTCCTGGTTGCTGCAATGAATATTCCGTGTGAACTTGCTTCCAATGAATCAATTAAACGACAGCGCCATTCATAGAATCCAGATGGTCATTTTGCATTCATGTTGAGAAGGAGTATGTCTAACAAACAGTTGAACAGCCAGAAACAGATACGTAATCATAAAGCAATATTGAAAACAAATAGCGTCTGCCAGCAAACAACATATATTCTGCTTCAGTGAGAGTCACTTCTGACTTGAGACTTGCTGCTAGTAGCAAATCTGCTAATCCGATACATTAGACACGGACACAAATTTAGGTCTTACATATGTTTCCATTTTAAAAGGATGAATTATTATTTTTCAAAAAAAGTGCAAAAAGAAAAAATCAACTTGAATGATTTGCACAGAAGCCATAGGAACTTTAATGAACGAACGAACGAACGAATGAATGAATGAATAAATGAATGAGTGAACGCATTTAATTAATAATATCATTGGTATAATATTATTGACAGTATTGTTTGATGGTCCAAAAAATCTCATCAGATATATGTTAGCAAGGAAGGGAACTTGAGAGCATAACCTCAGATGACCTCATATGATGACCCCTAAAAACTCATTTTTAAAAAATGGCAGAATGGGAAAATTAAAAAAAAACTATAAGACATCAACAGTGGGACTAAACTTCCAAACAAACGCATGTTACAAATTTATAAAACAATTTTCAATAAAACTGACTTGTTTCCCAAGCTGCATAGTGATAGTGCCAGGTAAGAACTCAAAAAGCACTGATCATCTTCCTTCAGTTTTGATCTGATATATGCCACACATTCGTTGTCCTCAGACGGCGGGGCTACATTCCTGATGTTGAAGTGAGGCAGTTGTTGTTGTGATTGTGCATCGCTATATTCAAGGTGCATGCTTGGCTGATTTCGTTCCTGAATTCGTTCTTTCATGTGAGCATGCTGAAAGTTTCGGTGCAGTGAATGAGGGTCACTATGGAGTGGAAGTTGCTGATGAAGAGTGGAAGACTTGTGGAGTTTGAGCCTCATGCAGACGCACCAGGCCCAGTCGACGAATGTGACGACATCACTGGGTAGATACGATGATGCCGACCTCGACATCGATGTTGTGCATTTTTGGGCCTTGACCGTTGTGCTCATCGACAGAGGAGCATTCAGCTAGGAATTACAATCATTGAATCAACCACAGTATATTTATTCATTACCCTCATCCTCATCCTTACATGGTAACCACAAATTGAAAAAGAATTAAACGCATCTTAAAACTTGGAAATATATTTACTAAAAGTTACATCAAACTTATATTTTTGAAATTGATATAAGAATAAAACTAAATGAAACAAGTAAACAAACAAACCACATTCTCAAAAGTAAGCCTGAATGAATTATTCTTCAAAGAGACGTGTTTAGAATATGCTTCTAAAATGATTTGGGCGATTTTCAGGTGAACAACAGAAACAGAGTGGTCAGTCATTTGAACGTCATGTTGCGCTGAACTGAACTGGCAGGACCAATCAAAGTGATCGATGATGATCCTTGCAAGGAGGTGAGCATGTGAGTTGACGCTCGTCTGCACCAGCCACGTTCGTAAGATGCTGATGTCCGAGGTGAGGGGTTGCCAGGTGTGCAGTGGCAAGCACTTGAACAAGTAATGAGACACCTGGCAGGTGCCACGAAAATATGCAAACGAGTGTCCATTATAACTCAGTACAAAAAAATTGAATAAATACAATAAATTTTGAACTGTCAATCATAGTATTTAACGAAAGAATGAAAAGTTGATTCGATGACATCGAACAGAAGCAAGAAAAGATGAACTAACAATTCCGACATCAGACATATGTTTCTGAGTGAGTTGCATGATGAAAGACAGAGCAGCAGGATGTTGCATGGAGATGGATTGTAGCAGGTCCCTGCCCAACTTGCTGTACAGTTCCCTCGTCGCCTGACTTACATATGATATCTGGGGCATTTAAATGGACATACGTACTGCCAGCTCAGCCAACAGTTTTGTATTATTACACGGTGACAAAATGCAGCTTATTATGCGTGCGTTGACCGATGCAGAAAGGTCCTTACAAGATGATCGTGTAAAGAAAACAAACGACGCATTTAAAGATTAAACATATGAAATGTTTTATTGCCTTGCTAGTAAAAAGAAAAGGAGCTACTGAACTAACATAGAAAATTTCATGTACAAGGAATTTTATGATATCCACGTCATCATCGACTGCACTGTTGGAGATGAAATTGAGGCCCTCGTGACTTCTGCGATGTCCGCGCATGCAAGCGATGTTGGCCAAGGTGCTCAGCAGGTACGTGGCCTCAGTCTGAGAGAGAAGAAGCAACTTGTCCGCCAGCTCTGGCAGTGTTGCGTCATCTGTTGAATGGCGAGGTTTAACGGTACATTTAGGTTCTGTCTGTGTTGTCAGTGAAGGCAACCGAAGGAAATTTCGAAAACGATCAAAAAAGAAATAAAATCTTCAAGAGACTGAACTAACCATAGAGATACAACTTGCAGTTGTGAGCAGCGAAGGAGAGTTGTACGTTCAGCGATGATGCTTGGTAGCAGGCCAGGTGCATGAAGTGTAGGGTGGACCAGATGTGTCCGGCTGTCATCGTGTCGAACGGAAACATAGTCATGAACTGCCAGGAACCCAAACTATTTAATCATCAACAGATGCATAAACGTCACCATAATATCACGCGCGATAAATATGAAGAAAGAATAATTAAATGCATCACAAATGCCTGTCTAACACAAAATAAATAGGATGGGACGAAAACAACAACAAACGAACAATGCAAGCAAAAGTGACAACAATTACGAAGAGAAAATAAATTGTTATTGATGAGAAGGTTACCAAAGATACATTTAAAATAAAACATGTAATGCAATGAAATTCCTATAAATATATAATGTAAATGAAAAAAAAACCAGCACACGGTGACTGCATTGCAAAGCTTTAGAAAACGAAAACGAACGTGGGAGCCTCCAACATCAACTGAACAGCCTTCATGATGAGGACGTCAGATTGCAGTTGAAGCCTGCTCATGATCGTTCGCTGAAGCGTGAATGAGACGCCAGATTTGTACGCCACCCAAGCATCACAGACGCATTGAACAGTGTACCTGAGAAATATTCGGCTAATATAATTAACCTGTTTTAAAACATTCTTCGTACATATGATTTAGTATCTTCAATTGATGTTATAAAAAATGGTGGAACCATATCAGGAGAACAAACTTTTCTATTCTCTTTCAAAAAGCATTCAAGTGTATCAAAAGACTGCTACTGAAAGTAACAACCTAAGCCATAGAACACAGAAATATTATAAAACAAAGTATCGAAAATGATGAACAGACTTGATAAGTTGGCCTAATTTTTTGCTGATCCTTCTGTAATGTGGCTGATGAAATGTTCTCATGGCTCTGCCGAAAATTTCAATCAGCCTGTTTGCAAGAGCCAACAGCCTCAAAAAACTTGATTCACTCAGATATTGAAAAGCTGGATGTTTGAAACAAATGCATCAATTAATACATTTAAAATTTAGAACAACGTTATTATGTTTTAATAAAACTTATTGAAATGAATTATTCGCCACTTAAATAAATAGAACAAAAAAATAAAAAAAAGCATTGAAAAATCCGAACAGTTGTTAACGAGGAAAGCATTTCTCAGCATGACATCAGCCGGAATTTGGTTGATCAGCGCTAACATGTCCTTCTCGTGCAGTGATGTTTTTAACGTCAGTGAGGTCACCTGCTGATTGTGCATGCATGCAATATAAAAGGGGCAACCACCATCACATAAAACACACACACACACACAGACACACACACACACACACACACATACGTACAGATACATACATCTTCTCCATCAGAGTCCACCACGATCCATTCCTCGTTATTACTATTAGATGGTTGAGCTGATGATGACGTAGAAGCTTGCTCATCCAGAGGTTGCCCATTAGAAAGCAATTTCATAGCACTTTCATCCTCATCTTCACTTCTAAGCATATTTGATCTGTACCTAAACAGCAAAATTATTTACATTTATTTTAACTAACTTGAAAATCTTCACAATAACTCAAAATTATTTGAAATTATTTAAAATTACTCCAAACTATTCCTAATTCTTATTTAAAATTAAATTAAAAAGAGTGAAAAACCGCCTTTAAAAATTTAAAGTAATAATACATGAAGCACTCGTGAAATATGACCAAGAAAAATAAATAAAGCGAGTAAAAATGCAAATGCTCTACAATTCCTGCAAATAATTACTACGACTCGCTCCTTTCACTATCAAGAAAAATTTATAACGAGCAAGACAAATGGAGCAAACTTCATTGGCTTCAATATGAGAGCTAATCGGGCAACATTGTGGTTGAAGTGATCGTCGTTCCACACGGCAGCTTCATCACTGAGGGGACCGACAGTGAGGAGACTGTCGTGAAAATTATCATCATGAGCTACATTGGCAGGTTGGACGTTGGGAGGAGTTTCATCGGGGAAGTTGTTTGGTTGGATGAAGTTGACGGCCCACGTGTTGACGCCAGATGGCGAGTGGAGGACGTGGAGCAGCAGGTACATGTGGTCGTGCAGCGAGGCATGCCGCAACAAACAGCTCACCTGCTCGCAGAATTTCAAGTGCGGCCACGTAACGACCACCAAGAATTAAACACAAAAGTGAGAGAAAACGAAATTGTTTCATGAAAACATACAAAAATGTAATAAAGTAATTTATAAAGTAGAGCCACAAAAGATAAACAGTGCACATGAACGTAAATGAAAACACATAACCACCCTTCAGTATATTTGAAAACATAAGCATCAAATAATTTTATTGAAGAGAACAGATACATCGACGGATTTTAAAAGTTTTTCAAATTATTGTTCATATAGTACTAATATTCAAGTAAATCTATACAGCAAAAGTTGAAAAAACATGTTCAGGGAGTCGGAACACGGAGTCGGGAGTCGAAAATTTCCAATCGCTTAGTCAGAAAACTTTTCATCCAATTCCGACTCCCTGGTTGAAACTTGACAGCATTTGAATTATATAGCGGCAACATGCAAATTATATTCATTATTTTATTTTGAAAACTGAAACATCAAGAAATATCAATGAATTGTTTAATATGCTAAGCAAGTAAATACAATTCAATAAAACATTGAATCACGTAAATTCAAAATGAGTAACCGACCATATTGGTGAGCCACGTCCGAATGTCCCTGACGAACTCCTCGTCCCTCACACTCATCCTCTCAAACGCAAACAACACGCTAATCAGTTCTTTCAACTTCACAGCATCATTATTAACATCGTCTGCAACGTCCACCTCTGATTTAACTGTTCGCAATTAATATGATGTACTTTAATGTGTGCATGTACATTACACTCTACAGCGTGTTACACAAAATTTAATGGTGGTTGACATTTAAAACATGAATAAATTGTTAAGTGTTGCAGGACAGCACTGCATGAGATTCTTCACACGATGGCCACAAACGAACAAACAAATATACAAAGGACTGAGTACATTGAACAGGCAGATTACGAGGTACGTTGAGGAGACCAGGGTGGTCGTCGTGGAACTTGCGTATGTAGTCCTCTATTCTCATTCTGCAGTGTGGTTAAGAAATATTTCAAGCGCAATGCATCTCAACAATAACGCCTTGATAAAACAAACAAAAGTTCTTATAATGTGACTTTCTAGATTTACAATCAGATATGAATTGTGTGTTCTACTTCTATTGCGGTTCCTCCCGTAGTTTTATGCTAGCCATAATTAAAACGACATCGTAATAAAATATTTCCACCAAAAGAACGATCCATCGAACAGGACACAAACTCACAACAAAAATGTTTACGCAGTTGCTCAATGACAAACTGACAGACAGGGGTGTAATTTATATCATAATAAATTATATTGCATTTTATTAAAAAGCACCCCATATTTGCTGGACATTCACAATATTACACCCAAAAGTTTTTGCAATAAGCTGAATTTTTAATTTCGTTCAACTTAACTCCCATCCACCCAACTTTAAACTCACAATAAATGATATCATGTCATGAATGTATGAAAGAATATTTTAAAAGGGGCACCGCTACAAAAAGTAAACAAACAAAATAAGAAAAAGACCTGTATAGATGCACTCTGAAAGCAGTCAGGGCCATGTGGTGTGTTGCATCCTTCAAGTGGTCGAGTGCAGCCTTGTGTTCCAATGCCATCCCTTCGTTTAGTGAAATTGTTTCGTATGTGACATCTCCTGTCACAACCGAATCATCTTTGCACCTGCCCTGTTGTAGTTTTTTGTTTGTTTGTTCAATCTTTTACATGATTTTCCTAATATAGAACAACTTATCCATTCAGTCATTAAAAACATCACACAGTTTATCATCCCAAAGTGCACAATCTCATTTTTACAAAATTTATTTAGATAACATTTTTTATTTTATTCTACTTAATGTTTGGAAAATTAGCCAAGGTAAAACTCTCACATATTATTAAATGATATTGTATTGCAAACTGAAAACTTTTAAGATTTGACATGCAAAATTTAATTTGGTAGACCTAACTAACTTTCAATGAGGTTGTCGTGGAGTTCACTTGCCATACCAGACTTTTCAATCGTTGAACTTCTTTCTTTAGACCGTGAATATCTTGTTTCAGCATCAAATATTTGTGCCTGGCCATCTTGTAATCATTCACCAAATGAAAAAATTCATGCTTGCTGTCGTCTGTGGAATCCTTTGCAAATCAGTAAAATGAAATAAAACTTACCTTCGCTGACTAATCTACCAAGTGCAAACAAATGATCATTAGTTCTATCTAGTAGTTTTATTGATAATAAATAAAAATGATAGCAGCTCAAGTTTTAAACTCCGGTTATCAACAGTACTGGAATTCTACAATAAAAAGAATCTCACATGATAAATGTAAATATTACCAACATTATAAAACTTTTCAATGAAGCCATCAGCAAGTTGAAGCCATTCATTGCAGTATAATGTCCTCAGCTGCTCTTCAGTGAATGGTTCCAATTGTTCCGACTCATTCTCCACGTGAGACAACTTTGGATACAAACATCCTACATTGAAACCTGAAATATAATTTATTTGCATGTTCAGGAAGTAATTTCGTTTTATGACCTTAGACGATTTAATTGTATTTTTTGAACACAACTTCACAGTTGTTATAGTTTTTATTTGTTTTGAGAGCTGATGTAGCAAGGCATATGTGTGGAAAAGTTCAACTGGAACGTCGCCAACCACGTAAGTCAACTCTGCCAGCGATATTTCCACCAACTTCACAAAATACGACCGATCGGACCTTATTTAACGTTTAGTCAACAAAAGCGGTCGTCTCCTGTTTCACGTGCACAGAATCGACAACTGCAATGAGCCAATGCCTGCAGCGCCGGTCTTAGCTTTTTCGACAGGTCGGGCAAAACTTGTTGACGCGCCCCTACGTATTATTGACATTAACAATGGAAGGTAAGTAGCTGAACATTAACGAACGAGTACAAGCGAGGCCAATAGGCAACAATTGTAGAAAAATCCTAGAAAATTTTTTAATTAATTTTTAATCTAAGTGTAAAATTGAATTTTTAAAGATATGTTTTATTGAAAACAAGTGTATAAATAAGCAATGCAACACAACTAGATGAATTTCATAGCAGACGTCTTCAATAAATTCTTTAGCACCAACTATTGCTTGTTAAAGCCAAACATTCTGTAATTTTGTAAATACTTAATACATTTTTTTAAGCATTTCAGTGTACTGTACCAGATCCACGTCCTTGGCCGGCATCGCTTTACTAACAACATCTATTTGAAACAGTAAAAAGAGTTCACTGTACCATGCAATTAAAGAGATTAGAAAACTATATTTTTTTAATTATTCTGCTAATGTAAGTGTTTCGTGTGCAATATCAAGAAGTTTTATATCAGCTTTATATATAGTAATTAAAACATCATGCACGCAACTTATTTGGTGTCAGATTGCTCTGAGACTTTCAATTTTGGCTTCCCAACGAGTATCGCCTCATGAGTAACTAGATGGTGAATTATTGAACCAATAAACAAGTACCCGCAGCAAAATGTACCAAAATCATAAATGAGTTTGATGAGACACAAATATATGGCGCCACAAAGTATGCAAGCGCACAGATGAACTTTAGTTACAAAAACGTTTAATAAAATTATGATAAAATTTATAATTTCTCTGATTAAAGTATTTTTTTAAAAAAATTAATTTCCAGGAAAAACTAAATTATGCTGAAAATAGATATAAGTTTAACTAAATCTATTTTCAACTTAATTTTATTATAAAAAAATTAATTTCCAGGTAAAACTAAATTATGCTGAAAATAAATATAAGTTTAACTAAATCTATTTTCAACTTAGTTTTATTATAAAAAAATATTTAGTGTATATTTTGCAGACAACACTTGGCACCCCCAGTTACCCAGCACCCTCGAGTGGTGCTCGATCTTGCCCCCCCCCCAAAGCCGGCACTGAATGCATGGCATCAACTTATTTTTTCGTGTGAAAGGCAAACGGTTTGGATGTGTGGCTAGGCTAAATACCAGATATTCAAAATTTGACTTCATTTAAAAGAGATGAGCTTCACAGAAAAATTGTTTTCAAACAATTTAACTAGTTTTTTGACCAGAGATTGTCTGGCTGGCAACACTCCAGGTAATTTAAAAGTGAGATTGCAAACAAGAGTCGATTGAGATTTTACAACATTGGTGATCAGATACTTCCAGAGTTCAGCCTTCTTGTTTTGGAAAAAAGAGATTTTCAGTATAATCGGAACAAATCTGGAATATATTGCTAATTGATTTGAAGAAATTCTGCAACATGAGTCGATATATACACTAACTCAAGCAAAGCTAGTACCTCTAAAGTTATTCAAAAGAAGCACTCCACAAAATTTGTGGTATAATTTGATACAAGTTATTTAAAAAAATGTGGGATGAAGATTTCTACATTTATGAACATGCATTTTAATATTAATTTGGCTGTAACAGGAAAGATTTACATTAAACAAAGTGTATCAAACATTTTTTTTAAATTTTTGTTAAAGCAGAGTAAAAGTTGATACAATAAAAAATGAAACAATAATATAATATTTTATGAAAGAACAAAGAAGTACCTAATTCATCTGCATCATCAAGTTCTGGAGCAGTCGGACTGATAATACCAATGCTAACTATTTCTTTAAAATTTTCCAGTTCCTCTTTAATGACAATGTTAATATTAGGTTCAGTTGCACTGTAGAGATCATTTTCAGATTCATGAAAAACACTGGACATTACGTCATCAGCAATATCTGTTTTTATGTTTTCTTTGTTGTCTTTGTGACCATTAACGTCTATTCTAATAATTTCTGTCAGATCTTTATTGATTTCAATATTTTTCAATAGATCATCATCTGTGTTTGAAATTACTGGCTCTACATCTAGCTTCAGTTCAGCCTTTTTATTCTTATATGACACTTTGGAACCGGAAAAGAGTTCATTCTGTGCCAACTCTTTCAATTCTTGCAAGCCCTTCAAATGTTCATCATATGGTAGATCCTCTAGTTTTGTCTTTTCAATTTCCTTCTCCTAAATAAATGATAGTTATTGACACAGGTTAGTTTTTCAAAAAATATATCCCACTAAAAAAATATGACTCATCAAACTATAAAAAATACTAAAAATTTAACATGATTCGGCAAATTTTGAAAAAATAAAATTTAATATGTAAACAAAAAAATTTTAATAAAATTTTTAACAAATATAAATAAATTTTAGTTTTTTTTATTATTAGAATAGGCACACAGCAAATTGAATACTGCTAAATTATTAGCTCGTATAACATCAACTGAATTTGACAAAATCATTTTAGAATAAGCATGTAATTTAAACTATTGTTTTAGTCTTCATTATTGTAGCTCTGACATACGCAGAACCACTAACAATGTTACAGATATATTATCTATATATCTTTTATTATGTTCTTCTTATCTTCAACCATTAATTTGAAGCTGCCATCTTCGCCACAAAGGCTGTTTATCCTTTTCACACGACGTACACATGTGTTTAATGTGCACGCGCAAGCACCGCATCATATACGCTGAGTATATGATAGCCATTGAGAGTTTTGACTCAGCGAGCATTTGAGCCACTGAGCATTATCGCCGGCCAGCATGCGACAACTTACGTTGTCTACCCATTTACCAACCTCGAAAAGATGGACGGCTGGGTTGACCGGGGGTCGGCTACCCAGATGAACCTGTAGAAACTGCAGGATTCAAACCCGGGTCGTGGGAGTGGTAGACATACACCCTAACCATTCGGCCACGAGACGCAGTAAAGTTTTTTCAATACTAAGCCCTAAGGCCAAATTTGACAAATCACAACACAATGCTTGCAGATAAAGATGAAGTCTTCAAAAGTGCAGCCAAGTCATTTTACTGCTTCATTCAGTTTGTTGTGATTTTAAAAACATAACTTTATATTTTTTATAACATAAATATACTGTTATAACCAACCCCTTGAACTTGTAGGGTATGGTTATTTCTCTTTACGTGGATTCTTGACTCCTGAACAGACATATTTCGGATGAACTTTATCAAAAAGAAAACAGTGCTGGCAATCACATGTGTGTATTGCTATGATCAATCACTCGTTTATTCAATCGATAAAATCGTTAGAATACAGCACAATAACTAATCGATGGGTAAATCACGGAATACAACTATTCATCAGTAGTTAAGCTTCTCTTGTTGGACTAATAACATCGAGTTTTTTAGCCCTGGCATTCTTTACTGCAGTAAGTTTTCAGCTATCAAAATCTTACCTGTCACCAGTGTGTAATCTCCTGAAGATCCCACTTCTAACATCAGTGTTGTAACTTCTTCGACCTCGTAACTACCAACACCAATGTTATAGCTTGAATACTCGCTATATCTCCAACACCAGGTTGTAGCTTCCAACGATAGTCAAGAGTTCGTTTAACCGTAGGTTCAAGATTTCCGATAGATGAACACAACTACTTCAAACGCAAACTAAGTTGAACTTTTATTTAATACCAGCAGTAATTGAAACAATAAATTAATCCAAATAACTACGTAAATCACATTTACAAATTCTACGTCAACTGTTGTTCGGTCTTCTTCTTACCTGTTCTCCTCCCCTCTTGTGTGTCTGTCCTGTCCTGTTGTCTTCTCGTCCTTGTTTATATAGCTACGGATCTGCTAGTAAATGTGTCACATACCGTTTTAATTATTTACGCCTTCTAATTAAATTTACAAGCACTCACACAATTTCTAACTACTAGTTCTTATCTCGGCTTTATGTCTATAACAATACTACTAACTATATTTTTATATAACCTTAACAATACCAACTAACTATATTAGCATTAAACAATAAACTATTAAATTAAATCAAATTAATACTGATTTATTAATGATTAATCAATCAAATCAAAAAAAAGATAATTTACCAAAATTCAAAAAATCAGAGTTTTACTCTTTTTGTTAATTAAACAAACTTTTACTCAACATGTGTAAAGCTCACTAAAGTAACATATGATTTCATTCATAATTTTATTATATGTATATTATCATCATCAAGTACATTTTTAGGCACCCAGCCGACCAGTGTTCCTTCCAGGGTTCGCTGACGAAAACCCTAGGTTGGCCTTGTTGCACGTTAATGAGCATTTTACCGTCATTCTTTTAACCACATGAGTATGCATATTATATATATATATATATATATATATATATATATGTGTGTGTGTGTGTGTGTGTGTGTGTATAAACATATAAATATTTTATATATAGTCAAACCTCCTTATAGCAAACAACGAAAATCTCTATTTTTATGTCCCTCAGAATTTTACATGTAAACTGTTTCTATAGAACAAAAATAATTTCTTTACAATGAACATAATTTATAAAAGTTGAAAGAATTATCCGATGAGCAAACATTCTATGAATTGATATGAGCGGTGCTTTTGTACTCCTCTAATTTAATATCTTAGTAGCCATTTTATTACTTTGTGTTCTAGAATTCTTGTAACTTTGGCGAATTCTACCTTGATTAATTTTTATCAGAATCATTGTTACATGGAACAAAGAATAAATTTAACTTTTAAAATTTTATTTTTTGTAATTATACCATGTATTATTACTTTCTGTTATCAAAATAAACAAATGATGAGGATGTTGTTTTTCATAAATATATAGTATATAAACACTTTTTAAGCAATGAAGAATTTCTCTGAACAAATGCTATATAATACAACGAAAATTCTATATAATGAATTTTTTCTTGAAATCATCAAACTCATTACGTTTATGGTCGGACTATCATTATTGTCGTTATTATTTAAAATTTATTCTTAACTTTTAATTAATTATTATTTAAAATTCTAATCAATTTGATTCGCTTTCTTACATTTTCTTTTGGCATATAAAAAGTAAATATTAATAAAAAAATCTGTGAGCAAAACCTGTTTCTTCTTTTTGTGCTTGACTTTTTTTGTAGCTTCACCTGTCTCTGTCATCATACATAATTTTCTTTGCCACAGTTGTTAGCCTAGGTTAGTTGTTAGTTACTTTCTTACAGGTTTGTTACAATGTTACACACACTGGTTAGTTGAAAAATTCTAAAAAACTATAATTAAAAGATAAAATAAAAAAGGTTCATCTAACTAATTCTAACAAACTTTTATTTTCCTTTTATAATTTATTTTTGATTTAAATTTTTAAAATAACAAATGTTCTGGTTTTATCTTTTAAATTTTAAATAAAGTTAATTTAATAATTAATTTAAGTAATTAAATATTTTTTTACGTATTTTTAATTTAATTATAGCAAATTAGGGCCTAACTGTTAGTATGGGGAGTTAATTTTTTTTTTACTTTTTTTTTGGAAATTTATTAATGATAAATAATTTTTAATTTAAAACTAAGTCAATAAAAATTAAAAAGAGAAACTACTAATAAAATCTATTAAAAATTAAAACAATTCCATTGATTCAAGCACGACATCGTCGAATTTTTCGTTATCGTCCGTTTTTGTTATCGCTGGATTTTTCGTTATCGTCTGTTTTTGTTTACGGCAAAGAGAAAGAAATATAAAGAATGTAAGAACGCAGAAACCACATGATCGAGATCGGAATGAATGGTAAGATGAGGCCTGTCATTGTTGGTCTTTAGTGGTATTGTTCATGGATATTAGTCTATTAGTCAAATGACACTAGGCAAAAATCTAAATAAACTGAAATATTATGCAAATCCATGAAATAAAATAATTAAAAAATAATAAAAAATGAATGATAATTACTAATAAACTATACAAAAATAAAAACTCTAAAATTTGATGAATTATTTATTCAATTATACATGGAAACTAAATAGGTATGTGCTGAAGAATGAAATTTTTTCAACGGGCAAATTTTCTGAATTATTTATTCACCCTACATGGAAACTAAATAGGTATATGCTGAAGAATGAAATTTTTTCAACGGGCAAGTTTTCTCTGTAGGAAAGTTCTTAAAAAATTAATTATTCATGAGCATTTTGGTTTATTTTTAGAAAAACCTGCAATACAATTAGAAAAATCTTGGCCTTCTCGAAATTATGGTAATGACTTTTGGCCGATCTGCATTCAACCCGTTTATTAAAATTTACTTCGTTTTCAATATTCCGTGAAGTTTTAGGTTAATCTATAAGGTTTATATAACCGCATTTAATCGTTAAATGGATATTGCCATTTTTTGATGCATCAGAAAATTCTAAGATTTATAATAAGTTCGTTAGTGATCCCAATGGTGGATTTAGGGGGCCCCGTTATCATCAGTTCAATTCAAGACAGCGTTATATAATAAAAAAAAATTTGAGATTTATTCATGGATATATATAATATGGATATGGCAGAAGCGTTATATATACATACATTTTATATATATATATAACATCAAGGTAAATCTAACAAATTTGATGCATAGAATAGCAATAATTGTTTAAAAGTGAATTTAAGTTAAAGGAAGTAATCAGTTTTTAACCGATCATCGTCTGTCATTTTCTTATTTGTTTAATTATTTTATATACATTAAGTTTAACCATGCCCATGTGCTCAATATCCAAATGTCATGGGTCTTATAAAGATATCGGCGTAACTTTACATAGGTATGTATAATTAATATAATAATAGTAAAATTTTAACATAAAATAGTTAAGCTTTTTTTACAATAATAAAACCAAACCAGACTACCAAAAGATGACAGTCAAAGAATACAGTGGGAAGGGAATATAAAAAATCATATTACAAATTTTTGTAGTAGAAAAAATATCTTCATCTGCAGTAGGCATTTTTTACAAGAATGCTTTTATAAAGTAGGTTCTAAAATGTTGCTCAAAAAACATCAGTTCCTATAGTATTTCCAAAGGTTTTGTTCTTTTTGTAACTTATAAAAAATTTCTACTTTAAATAGTTTAAAAAAAATTAAACTAACATTAAGATTAACATTAAAATAAAGAAATAACTAATTATTGGTGCATCATGAAAAATGAATCACTAATTAATTAATTGCAAGACACTAACATATTATAGTTAGTATATTAATTAGATATTTGTTCCTGCAAATCACATAATCAAGTATATTGAATATTTATCATTTTCAGATTTTATCAAATGATCAAACAGATACTCTATCTGAAATGCAATCACCAATAATGATGGAGAAAAAATTAACTGATGAACCAGTATGTTTGTTTAAATATAAAATTTACTTAGATTAATATATTACTGATTGCATGCGCTACAATTAATATTTATTTTTTTTATTTTATGTCAATAAGAAGATACACATATGTAAGTACATGTTCAAGGTATTTATTTCACAAAGTTTATGATGAATCTACCACACATACTTTGATGCATACATTCATTCATGTGTAATATTCAACTTCAGATAGAAAATGTTGCATCTTTAGAAAATGTTGCAGTTCCATCAACATCAATTGTTAAATTGGTTTGTATGTATGATGGTTCATTTAATAAATAAAAAATAGTGAAAAATGTAATTTAGTATTTTAACACATGTTTCTATAACTATAACCAGAATTATAAATGATTGTTAAAATACTTAATATAAGTTGTTGAAAGGAAAATGAAAAATTTTACAGACTGGTATTGATGCATTGACACCTAGAAGCTTGAAAAGGAAAGCTAAAAAATTAGATATATCATTAAAAACTACCAGAAAAGTTCTATATAACTACAACAAAAAAATTAAAAGATTAAAAGTCAAACTTGAAGTATATAGAAATGAAATTAAGATGTTGAAGAAATACAACGATGAACTTACCTCAACATTACTTTCATATTCAGGTATGCTAATTATTAAACTTTAAAAATAATTTTTAGCAACAAACCTTTACGTATGCCACTTTTTTTAATTTTTAATATTGAATTGGCATTTCAGATATTCCAACAAAACTTTTCATGAAACCGAACAAAACCTATACTGAAGAACAAAAGCGTTTTGCATTGACTTTACATTTGTACGGTGGAAAAAGCTACCAGTTTTTGAAATGTAAAGGATTACATCTGCCACATAAACGTACATTAGCACGGTAAGTTATTGTTTAATATTATATATATAATTACAAATTAAAAATTTAAGTATTTAAATGTATTAAGGTGGTTAGAATTTGTAAATGGAGGACCAGGCCTCAATCATTCTATGTTGAATTTCCTGAAGAAAAAACACGAAACAGATGCAAAACAATTTACACACTGTTCTTTGATGATAGATAGTATGTCAATTCGGGAACAACTGATATATTTAAAACATAAAGGTGTCTATTCCGGTTATGAACATTTTGGTGGAGACTACACATCCTATGAATTGGCAACACAGGCCCTGGTTTTAATGATAGTTGGTACGTCAGGTTCATGGAAGTTTCCCCTTGCTTACTTTTTGTTCAAAAGCATGTCAGCAACTACGCAACAAGTTCTTGTATTGAACGCACTTGAAGCTTTGGAAAAGATTGGATTGAAAGTATAATTCTTGTTAAAACTTTTTACAATTTCTGTTTTGTTTTTTAGATTTTTTAAAGTTATTTTATCAATGTTACCTGAGTGTTATTATTGTTCAAATACAGGTAGTGACGCTGGTGATGGATGGCTTACGAACAAACATTGTTATGTGCATAAAACTTGGATGTGTCTTTGATTTGCCTACCTTTGTCAAACCATCTTTTAAATTACCATCAACAAATAGAGAAATCTATGTAATACTTGATGCCTGTCACATGTTGAAACTTGTCCGTAACACATGGGCTGATAAAAAATTTTAGAATCAAATGGTGGTTTAATTAGATGGAAATACATATGCAAATTACATTCTGCACAGTACACGACTGGCTTCAAATTGGCTAACAAATTAACTGACCAACATGTTAATTATCATAATCAAAAAATGAAGGTACCATTTAGTATAATTCTTCCTTTCTCTACATATTCAACAATATCTTTTGAGTATGTTCATGTATTAAAAAAATAAATCACCATACAAATAGATTTTATAATTATAAAAATGACTTACATAATTTCAAGTTAAATTAGTGGCTCACATATTGAGTAATTCGGTGGCCAAAGCCTTAAGATGTTCAAGTAACTGTGAAGAATTTAGAGATTGTGGAGCAACTGTACAATTCCGGGAAAAAATGGATATATTGTTTGATATAATGATATAATGAATAGTAAGAACATTTACAGTAAATATTTCAGACGTGGTATATCAATGACATCATTTAATAACATAGCATCAAACCTAATGTCACTGAAAGAGTATTTGTTATCACTAAAAACTGTCGATGGAAAATTTATATATCAAACCAATAGGTAAACATATATCTTACAGTGTTTGATGAAAATGTACTAACCAATTGTTATATTTTTAAAACTCAAGGAATACATGTGTTCTTGGGATGGTTGTCAACATAGAAACCATAATAAATTTAGCCACATCCTTGCTTCAAACACAAAAATATGTTCTGACATACAAATTCAGCCAAGACCATCTTGAGTTATTTTTTAATTTCATTCGAAGTGTAGGTTAGAAAATGTTCAAAAGTGGTTATTTAACAAAAGTGACTTCAATTTTATATATTTATTTATGTATTTAGGGAGAAGCAATGATAATCCAAATGTCTGGCAACTGGAATCTATATTCAAAAAAGTGTACTGTAGATATGATATTGTCCCTGGAAAAACAGGTTATTCAAATATGTTCCATTTATACAGTTGCTTTAAATGAGGCTATACATATGTTGTTTTATAATTTTTTAAGGGAATGTACAGGAACAAATGATTGTTGAATCAGAATTTAAAGTTCCAGAGGATCAATTTAAAGATATTTTTGAAGAGACGTTTTTAGATTCACAAATAATGATATCTAATACCATGTCCACTGTCATTGAAAATCCATCTAACACCATGTCCACTATCATCGACAGTGCAATAGCGTATATTGCTGATTATATTGATGGGTGGTTAGAAAAGTTGCCAAAACAATCGATTGTAACAAGTGTAGATTTACACTTATTGATATAAAAGGACAAGCTACCA